ATTCGGACATCCGGCAGTTTCTTGGCCTTTGCTAACTGCTCTCTAAATAAAATCGGTTTTTAAAGCAGATGAATTGAATACCTATTAGTAGGAGATCATTGTATAAGTGTCGGCACAATCATTGTGGTGTTTGATCCCTATGAGGGTCAATTCTTGTCAGTATTTTTCTTATTTAAAAATGTACCAGTAAAAAAAAAGGCCTTTTTCGAAACCGAAAGGCATTAAATAATTATATTATACCTGATTATAACACACTAAGCTTGAGGGTTATAGAACTGCAAATGAAAAAAAATCATGAGATACCGCCTTGTGTGTTCTTTAGTTTTAAAAGACGATTTTACGATTTGATCTACAGAAAGCTCTAAGTTTTACCTTTTTCGGCTTAAATATTGTGACGTATATTTTTTAAAAATTTATGCGACTCAAACTGCAATATTTGCGCAATGTAAACAAGATTACGAATACACAAAAGTTTATATTGGAGTCATTAATCTTTACGATTAACAGAAAAAAGTGTGGGTACGCAATACACCTAGTTCAACTGCATCCTTTTATAGCAAAAATACATAGATTTATCAACCTTTTTACTAGGCAAATCTTCGCCATGTAATATTGATGGGTCTGACAACCAAATACGTTCGGGAGACAATGAGATATACTTGCTCAAATCAGACTGCCTGTGGACAGCGGTCGAAACAAGAGAAACATTTTTGGTCTTAAAATATTTGCAAAAGACATAAAAGACTACGAAATACTCCTACGCATATATAATCTCACCGAATAGACAAGCATTCACTTTCCTCACACAGCTTAAGCAGGGATAATTGACAGCAAAAAAAAACTGTTTCCTTGCATCTAATATTAGCTCCAAAGATAATAATAATATGATACGCTTGCAGAGTTAAGTATAATACACGCTGATGTGGTGGGAGCTTGCTAATGACGAAAATCAGTAATTTTGTAAAACATTAGCACAGCCTCAGATATAATTATTTGCAGGACGATTAATTAGAAAAGGATGAAGAACACAAACTGCCCTGGTGGTCACAGTACTATTAGGATACCGTTCATAAAACAAGGTTATTCTCTGGACGTCGCGGATATTATGTTAGCATCAATACCTGATAGCAGGTTGTAACAATACAATGCTCGTTTGAAACAATGTCACTGTTTTTGTGGATAAAATTATGTACTATTTTTTGAAACGCTGTGGTCTGGGATATCTCAATAAGAAAAAGAAAATTAGCATAAATGACAGCACAAAATCGGTTATGTCATTATTAAAATAAATTCAGAAATTATGAACAATATTCTTGTCAAATGGTTTTTGTGAAGAAATTTATAAATTTCGTACCCTGTCACCAAAATATACTGTCACGGGTTCTACTAGTACTACTTGAATCCCAAGTAGGGTGCATAATTATTTAAAGAGGAAACTTGGACCCATGTGATAGCATTTTTGTTTTTTTTTTAATAATAGGTAATAACTCTTTGGCTCTTTTTATTGCTCATAAGATACTTATTTTATTTATAATCAAGTCAAATATTAATTTGTATACTAATGAAAGTTTCAAAATTAAATATCACTGATAAGATTAAGTCTTCAACTATAAATCGAGCTTATCATTTACTGACTTTATTATAACGATGTACCTTCAATATGTCTAGCCAAAAATCTTGGAATACTATTTCAATGTTTCAGCAGTGAAGAGGCAATGGGAATGTGTTTTTATTTTTTTACTAATATTATTATTTAGTTCATAGACTTCGAGTCGCTGTATCTTTGCAACTCTACCAGACAGCGGAATAGACATAATCACCTTCTTATAGCACGATACGTGCTGCTACTTTACCTGATACTAAGCCAGAAGTTAGTATACAGCTTATGAAGAAAACTGCGGATTGGACAAGTGCGAAATTTTACAATAGAGAAGTATCCAAAAATAACTCTGCCTTTTTTGCTCGCTCTCTTTACAAACATTTTAAATAGATTTTTAAATTACCTATCTAGAGCTAAATAATAGTATTTTATTTTATTCTCAAATCAAGTGTTACTATATTAATTTACATTAGTATCTAAAAGTCAGCTATTTCGTGTAGCTTTAAACATCTACAAGTGTGTCAATGTAATCTCGAAGGGCGAATCACAGAAGTATAATTGAAAGTCAAACGAACTTACCTGTAAGTGACGTTCGACTTATATTATACGATGTGATTCGCCCGAGAGATTACACACCCTCCCTGTCCCTGATCAGCTATTCTATGAAGATATCTAGATCTTACCCATGGTCACACGAAATAGCAAGAACCAATGGACCGCTTTAGTCCAAACGTGTATGAATATGTGGAGTTACCCCCAGTGCGAACGCATATTTTATATTTTTTTTGTTATATTTTTTAGGCAAAGGTTAATGTTGCTCTAAAATTGTGTACGATGGCAGCACATAATGCGTGCTACTACAAGTGTGTCAATGTAATCTCTCGGGCGAATCACATCGTATAATATAAGTCGAACGTCACTTACAGGTAAGTTCGTTTGACTTTCAATTATATAAAGATCGGGGATCGGGAAAGCCGGGGATCGAACCCGGTACCACGCGAGATTGCGGGGTTGATTGATTACAAAAACACTGCCATGCTTATTACGATAAATATAGAAATGATGCAAAATTTCACAAACGTATAATGCGTACACGTATACAAAACACCATGGTTGTTGTGATGCCTTTTCTCAAGCTTTGTACTTGTAGCTTGAGTGTTCCTCGTCAAACGTGCGAGGACACTTGAGTGTCCTGTGTGGTAGATGGCGTTGTCAATAACCCAAAATACTCTTAACTAATTATTTAATCTTAAGGTGTGATCTATCCACATGTTCCTCAAGATTTACCCGTACCAGTGATGTGAAAAGATCATAGTTTTATTTGCGTTACTATAAAAAAAAGTGAACACGTAAAAAAAATATTATCAGCTATTTTTATTTTAATTCTTTTGTTATGTTTTTCTTATCTTAGGTTTTTTCCGAAATATTTATTTATGAAAAATTACTGTAAAAGAATTGCAAACATTGGAAAGGTAAAGATTGTTAATAAAAACCAAGCCTGTATTTATAAACAACTTAGGTACCTACCAAACATTTAATACTTAACTATTCAGGTATTGTAAAATACTTGGCAAATTGAAATGTTCTATACTTAAATTGTTTCGATAAATAAATAGGTAATAATAAAAGAAAAAAAAACTATTTTTAAAAATTACCGAACGTAGGATCGTGCCACCCATCAATTGATGGTGAAATCAAGACCGTAACCGTTCGGCTATTCGTCTCTTATGGTGAACGATAAAATTACAGATACCTATCTTGTGTCAAATACTCTACTTCCGTTTCATCGAATCAATCAATCAAATCACAACGGTACTTAAGAAGTTTTCACTTCAAAACCAAGAAGGGTTTTGGAGGTTTGCTTTTATTATTATTTTATGCGTTAAATATTAAAGCTTCGTACCCAAAGGGGATGGCCGCATTAATATGTCTCTATCTCAAGAACCAAACAGATGAAACAACTGTAGCATCCTGAATGTGTCCTGCGTTAATAACCATTTTAATATAGAAAACAAAGTACAGTTCTGCAGTGTACTACACCATCGCAAGCTGCTTTGAAATGAGGTCACCACTTAAAGTACTGCAGCCCGTTTCTCATGTGCAGTAACAGATATCACCATGATGATGATGCAGATCTGCACTCACACAACCACGCGCGTGGTCCCGGTCGCCATAGTGCGGGGCAGTGTGAAAACTGCGAGAGAATGTGAGCAATTGTTGCATCGTAAATTGTAAATAAGGAATGGTCATCCTATTCGAAGGGAGTAAGAGGCGTCCGTTTGATATCTCTCACTCGTCCTGTTTTGCTTACAAAGTACATATAGCCAGTAGCATGAGCATTGAGCACCACTCTCCGAAGCATGAGCACCACAATTTATAATGCGATTCAAATAAGAATAGGAAAGCCAATGACCTCCATCTGTCAAATGTCGCTTGAAAAGTACGGCTTGCAAAAAAAACTTGGAACCCTTTATTAGCACTCAGCGAATTATGGAATAAAAACCAAACATTTGTAAACAAACAATAACAAAAATTGTTAATTAATATTGGTTGATATTTTATTTTCATTTATTGAGCTATGGCTATGAATGTTTGATAACCTAAATCGTCAACCAAATGTCACTTTAAGTTGCGTTCAGAAACTCGATTTAAAACTTTGGTTTACATATAGGTTGATGGTAGATGTTCGTATGTGACCTAGTAATAGTGCATGATTATTCATAACTACTCCGGCGGTAATGCAGAGATGAGCGGAATTGAAGAGCTTAATTCTGATTAATGTTTTTTCTCGCACAGTCTTAATAAATAAATATTATTAAAAATCGATTATTTTCTTTTCTCAATTTTAGTATATAAATTTTATTAAAAAATCGGATGTTTTCTCTCACTTAATCTTAGTAAATATCTTTTATTAAATAAAAACTTTTTTGCTCACTCTACCTTTTTCGTTTGAATTGACAGCTATGACGTCACAATATGGCGCCCCGTCGCTATTCTTAGTTGAATCGCATTATACATTATATCACGTTTTTATCGCGTCTAAATGTCAAACTCCATAGTAATTTGACAATTGAGTGTGATAAAAACGCTTTATGTATCACATCGCGGTGCTCATCCTAGGGGGGCACAATTTACATTATATTTCATTTTTTTATGGCGTCTAACTGTCAGTCTATAGTAATTTGATAGTTGATAAAAACGCGTTATTTATCATATCGCGGTACTCATGCTAGGGGGATAGCACTTTAACGTATATAACATGATGGCTTTAAAATTTTATTTTTATTAAATGTCCTTTTTATGCATATTTTTCACTGATTCGATTTCGTTATATACTTTGGATTTCCGAACGAAAACGTCAACTTCAAACACGACTCGCTGATGTCAATGTCATGAGTGTCAAATTTATCACAACACAGCGCATGTTGTGCAATTTATTTCACAATTAATAAAGGAATTCAACAATTTTACAGATTTAAATTATTTAAGAATCGTAATAGCTTTATTAGAAAACTTATACAACATAAGAAACCTTCACAAAATCTCAATATGCGGCTAGTGGATTCGTCGAAACTTTTACAACTTCAAAACAAACCTCGAAACATTCGGAATATATGCATTGTCGCACACGTGGACCATGGAAAAACTACCTTGGCAGATTCTCTGATATCCAGCAATGGGATCATATCTCAAAGGATGTCTGGTAAGCTCCGATATATGGATTCTAGACCGGATGAACAGGAGCGAGGTATCACCATGAAAAGCAGCAGTATTGCTCTTTACCATGCTGTAAATGATATGGAGTTCTTAGTAAACCTCATAGACTCGCCTGGACACATTGATTTCTCAAGCGAAGTGTCGACTGCTGTCAGATTATGTGATGGAGCAATTGTTGTGGTGAGTGCTTGTTTATTATTTAGCTTATTTGTTTCTTGAAATCTTGTTGCGAAACTAGCAATAAGTACAATTATTAATTTAACACAGAAATTCTAACAAGAATATAAGCAATAAATCTGAAATTTTACTTTCTAAGACTAATATTTATTTTCATTGTATCATATTGTGCAATACTGTGTGAAAAAACTGTAAACTATTATTGAAAAATGTGTCTCTTCATTATTTTTCAGGTGGATGTTGTAGAAGGAGTTTGTCCTCAAACAAGGCTAGCTCTCAAGCAGGCGTATGCTGAAAACATTCGTCCTGTATTAGTTCTTAACAAAATTGACCGCCTTATTTTGGAAATGCAATTTACACCTTTAGATGCATATATCCACTTAACACAAGTTATGGAACAAGTGAATGCAGTAATGGGAGAGTTGTTTGCTACCGAAGTGTTTGAAAATGAGGAAACCACAATAGAAAAACAGGTATTGGCAGTGCTATTGTTAGCCTTTCATTAAGGTTAGATCATTAATTGAAATGTATTTATTTAAATTTTATCTTAATGTATGAATTATATTAAATGAAGGGTTTTGTTGGTTGTCTAGTCTATAAAATAAAAAATTATAGTAATCAGTAAATATATCTCTAAAAACTGTTCATTGCCAGTATAACTTACAAATTACCCGTAAATCAAGTTAGACATACAACAATGTTTTGTTCAAAATAATAAATTAATCTGCATTTAGCATATTGTGTATGCGAAAATCACTGTTACATTGTCAGCTATGTTAAAAATTTTGGTTTTGGTGAATATTTTTTTTATTGTAAGATTCATAAAATTGGGGTATTAGGGAACATTATATAAATAAATTTATATAATAGTAAAATTTAAGAGCTATAAAAGTATAGTGAGATCATTGCCAATTGCATCAAACTGAGGTTCCAATTGTGTCATGCTTTAATGAAATTAGATTGAATAATTCATAATTATTATGAATTTTCTAAAATCCTATTTAGTGTGTGTTCATACAGATGCATTAACATGAGATAACTATCCTTGTATCTGTCTCTGTGTGTGTAACAAAACTCCTAAGTTAATGGATCAATTACAATGCAATAGTATATATCACTGGCAATGCCGTTTGGCCTGGTCATACCTGTTGATCCAACTAGAATTTATATAATTTATGAAAATATCAAATTTAAGACAATGGAAAGACAACTTAGTCTAAATATATTTACTATTCTTAAACTAACAACAATTTGTCACATTTTAGCAACAGAAACCACCAGAGTCTAAAGAAGACAATAATTTCTATGATTGGACCTCAGCCCTTGAAGATGCAGACGATTCTCAACTGTATTTTTCACCAGAACAAGGCAATGTTGTGTTTGCCAGTGCTATAGATGGTTGGGGGTTTACTATTCATACATTTGCTAAATTATTCTCAGAAAAACTTGGTAAGGCAAATAAAATTGAATTTACATGTCTGCGAAGAGTGTAGCTACTAGTTAATTGTTGTTTTTTACAGGAGTTAAAGAGGAGATTCTTAGGAAAGTATTATGGGGTGATTTCTATCTTAATCCAAAAACTAAACGCTTTATGAAAGGTGCACAAGAAAAGGCAAAAAAGCCACTATTTGTTCAGGTTATTCTTGATAACTTGTGGAATATATATGATACAATAGTAATAAGAAATGAGAAAGAAAAAGTGCCAAGTATTTGTGATAAGCTGGGTATAAAATTAACCACCCGTGATTTAAGGCACACAGATACCAGAATCCAACTTCAATCACTTATGATGCAATGGCTTCCATTATCCCAGACTGTACTCAATATGGTTTGCACAAAACTTCCATCCCCTACAGAAATGCAACCTGAAAAAGTAGATATACTTATGTGCTCAAGGATCAGAGATTTTGACTCTTATCCTCTTGAAACACAAAAACTTAAAGAGGACTTTTTGGCCTGTGATAGTAGTGAAGATAAGCCTGTAATTATATTTATATCGAAAATGTTTAGTGTAGACAAGAGTTTGTTACCTGAGAATAAGCCTAAGTTCTTAACACCTGAAGAAATGGCGCGTCGAAGAGAGTTAGCTAGAAAAGTGAGAGAGGAACTTAAAAATAATACTGTAGAACCTGTTCCAGCCTCTGAAATCAAATTAGATAGTGATAAAACTGTGGATCATAATGTTGAACAAGATACAGTGAATGAAGATGTTGAGCAACCTGCATTTATAGCTTTTGCTAGAGTATTTAGTGGAAAAGTTAGAAAAGGTAGCAAAGTGTATGTGTTAGGTCCTAAACATGACCCGTCCAAAATACTTAATATAAAAAATTTCAAAGTAGATCCCAATAAAAAGTTAAAAGACCTACAAAGTGATGAACATGTGACATGTACAGAGTAAGTATCTAGTAAATTTTTCTTATTCATTTAATACAACGTAATAGAAATATTATATACTAGTGGCCTGCCCTCGCTTCGCTTCGGTGTAGAGCTGTAGTGTAAACTATAGTTTTTGTTCTCAGGCTTGTGCTATAAATAATGACTTTATTTATATAATTACACGTGTTATTGTGAGTCTACCATAAAAGATAGACATATGCTGTTGAGGGATATTTTTTAGACAATTTTATGTAGAATATTTCCGTCATACATGATTTCTATGTAACTTTAACCATTAAGGCTGCACACGCGACGGAAGCTTAAAAAATGGAGTAACTTCTCCCGTTTTCCCAACATTTCCCTTCACTACTCTGCTCCTATTGATTGTAGCGTGATGAAAAGTATACTATAACCTGCCCAGGAGTATGAAGAATAATTGTACCAAGTTTGGTTAACATCCGTCGAGTAGTTTTTGTTTCTATAAGGAACATACACACAGACAGACAGACAGACAGACAAAAATTTTACTGATTGCATTTTTGGCATCAGTATCAATCACTAATCACCCCCTGATAGTTATTTTCAAAATATATTTCATGTACAGAATTGACCTATCTACAGATTTATTATAAGTATAGATGTTTCCGGCAATCTGTGTAATTCGGCATACCATACAATACCTAGGCTATGTAAAGAATGCCATAAACGTCAAGGCAATATATGAAATATTATTCATTTTATACTTTGCCTAGGTATTATGTATATGCAATGCCGAATGTGCAGTTGGCAAAGTGTGTAAAAGAACATAGCGCGTCGCCTTTTCCTTGTTTTATATATGTTTTATACATATTATTATTATCTTATATTATTTATCTATTATCTGTCAGGTGGCTGGCAGGTTTAGGTCACAACGCTAACTTAACCTGTAATAAATTCAGTAAGAATTATAAAATCTGTCCATCATTTTATATACAGGTTGGTGATCGATATTTTTATAAATCATTAAAAATAACTGATTTTATAAAAAGTTAAAACTTCATGCAAATATTTTAATAAAATTAGAGAAGACTCCTTATATGATGTACTTCAACACCCTTCAAGCTTTATTTGTAATTTTGTAACACTCTGTATATGCAACTGGGTAGGCTAGGTTAGGTTTGTTAGGATTAGGATAAATATAGAGTAAATCTGTTAATTTTACACAGTGCTGGTGGGCCAGCAGGTAATAAAATCTTTAGGAATTGTATACATTACCTAGGCAAAGTATAAAATGGAAAATAATATTTATAATATTGCATACATTGCCTAGACGCCCCCGGTATTCTATACATTGCCTGGGTATTTATAGACTACCTGCATTATAAATATTGCCAGTGACATATACACATTTTTTATGTTACAGAATAAATTCATTGTATATTTTGATGGGTAGAGAATTAGAAAATATTGATGAAGCTATTGCTGGAAATATTATAGGTAAGTATTTTTAATTTATGTTATTACTCCTTTATTAAGACATATTTATATGTTCAAGATATGTTATATTTTATTCCAAATTTATATTTAATTACTTCAACTTAAGTCAACATAACATAAAAATCAAAATAATATGAAACTGTTTGTCACTAGAGAGTCATACGTATTTGTAGTCAATAGAATTACATGAAGCTTACTTATATAAAATAAACATAAAAATAATATTAATGAAGTTTGAATAGCTTTATCATAGGTCTATCACGTAAATAATGGCTGCCCAACTACCTTTTTTTTCCTTTTTATTCCAGGCATTGGTGGCTTACAAGAGCATGTTCTTAAAACTGCTACTCTAAGCAGCACTTTAGCTTGTCCTGCATTCAGTGAAATACAATATGCGGCAGTGCCGATTCTGAGAGTAGCAGTAGAACCTCAAAATCCATCTCAATTACCGCAATTAGTGAAAGGTAATATACTGCAATTTTCACAAGCTAAAAAGCGTAAATTTTACCATATTTTTTTTAATGAACAATATGTTAATTTGTCACACAATTACCATTTAACTGCCTTCATAGTTTAAAGCGGTGTTTAAAAAATAAGGTACTCAAATTAATTTTAAACAATTATTTCCAGGTCTCAAGCTCCTGAACCAATCAGATTCATGTGTTCAAGTTCTACTTCAAGAAACTGGTGAACATGTTTTAGTGACTGCTGGAGAAGTGCATTTAGAAAGATGTCTTGAAGACTTGAAGTAAGTTCTAACCTTTCTAAATATTTTTAAACTACGCCGAGAACATCTTTTGTTTGTTTTTCTCGTCCAGTTGTATCATATTTGCCAGCTAAGTGATTTCATATCTTCAGGCTATGGGTGCACCAACAGAATACCTGTTCCTTCGTTTTATTTAATGCAATTAATATGTTTATTTTGTTCCAGGAACAATTACGCCAAGATACCTATCAGTGTGTCAGAACCTATTGTACCGTTTAGAGAAACAGTAATAGAACCACCCAAAATTGATATGGCCAATGAAGAAATAGATGCTCAAAATATAGACAAGAAAAATACAACACAAGAGGATCCAGTGATCACAGTATATACTAGCAACAGACAGAGCAAAATAAAAATAAGAGCCAGACCACTGCCCAGCGAAATAACGAACCTCCTTGATAAATCCACAGATTTACTAAAAGCAATTTCTCAATACATAAAAACGCTTCAAGGATTAAATAAAAACGATAATTTAGAAATCAAATTACAAGAATTATATCTTAACGGCACTAATCACAAACTCTCCGATAGAATGCTGAAACTTATACAAAATTTCATCGAAGAACTCCAAAACATCGCTTCTAAACTAGGTCCCGAATGGAAGGACGTGGTCAGTCAAATCTGGTCTGTCGGCCCTAGGAATTGTGGTCCAAATTTACTTTTGAATCATACGTCAGATTACAAAACGAAATACTTATATCATGAAGAAGATATAAAAGAAGACCCGCGATTCGAATATGAAAGTAGTTTTGTGAATGGATTCCAGTTGGCTACTTTTGCTGGACCATTGTGCGACGAACCTATGATGGGAGTTGCGTTCTGTATTGAAGAGTGGACGTTAGAGAAATATGATGTGGAGGAATCCCATACCTTTGGACCACTATCAGGTAAGGCAAAGTTACTTTATTACAACAATAATAAAATTATTTAACTTTAACAGTAATAGTTTTTATTATTTGATCAAATAAGTGCTATTTGTTTAAATCTAAAGAGAAAAAAAAACACACGGTCTAGGAAGCAGACGGGACTCAAACCAGCGCCCTCCGCTATCCGGACAGATGCACTTATCAATTATGCTACCGCGACCTTAATGGCCATGTCGAATTTCTTCTAGTATTTATAATATAAAGGTACTAATGGAGAAGCTCGATGGCGCAGGTGGTTAGCGCGTTCGGCTGCGATCGTTGAACTTAATGAACTTTCGCAGTATTCGGTCATTGGATAGGTGGCCGAAAATATTCTATCTCGAGTTCCCCCGTGCTTCGGAAGGCACGTTAAGCCGTTGGTCCCGGGCCGGGACCGGGACTCCCGGCTGCATCTGCAGTTGTTAGCACCCACCAATCCGCACTAGGCTCGCGTGGTGGGTCATGGCCCAATCTTCCTATTCCATACATAGGGAAGGCCTGTGCCTCAGCAGTGGGGACATTATTAGGTTGATGATCATACTAATATCATAAACGAGAAAATTTGTACGCATGTTTGTTACTCTTTCATGCTAAAATGGCTGAACGGATTTGATTGAAAGGAGATTGCTCAAATTGGCCTATATGCACAAAAAATATTGACATACGCGGTAATTCTTCGCGTAATTTATAATTTAATTTACAGTCATTAGATTTCAACGGAAACCTTTGTATAATATATTTACTTTAAAAAGGACTTTTAATTTTACAGGTTTGGAAAACATACGAATCATTTTTAATGGCTATGGGTGTAGTAACATTCAGCCAAAGACTGATTGAAGTTGTTTATATAACATGAAAACAAATCTATTTTGTAAAGATCGATAAAATAAATTCTTTTTTTTTATTACACTGTGGTATTAATATCCACAACTATATAATCATTTTCACTAGACGCAAATGTGCTCAGACTATTATTATAGATGGTAGGCGACATCATAAAGTCTATTGCCATACATTTTTCGCCAAACACCTCCATAAACACATTATAATCTGTATATATGTTAGACTTTAAGGTACCTATCTATGGGCCTACGTTCCCTGACTATAAATTAATAAATAAATAAAATTATAAGGTATGATACACTAAAAATCTAAAATATGATTATCTTAAAAACATAACAAAAATAATGAAGCTACTGAATATATGGCTATAGAACCTAAATCTCTTAGCTTTCTTTGTTTAATAAAAATTCTCTCTAATCTGTGGCTCATTGACAATCATCACACAGTTTCTGTCACAGAGTACCTTATTATAACCGGAAATGACACCTGATTTTAAGAGTTACTCTTATGCATTAACTTTAACTTTTAACTTTAAACAGGCAACTATCAGTCCCCCCCCCCCTGAATAAATAAAGCATCAAATGAAACCCCCCCATCACCTCCCAGAATTAATACATCTAGCGGGCCGCTTCTGTTAATCTAAATGCTCTATATACCTGAATCTAATCCATAATTTCGGTACTTGGCTTGATTTCCCTAGTTTACTACATAACTTATTTGTTTTTTATAATTATAATATGTTCAGTGTATATGTTTTATAGAAGTTGTCAGGGGTGTCCGTCAATAATATTCGTTTCTACAGTAATTTATATATAATTTCGCATCTAGGAAACAATTTTTCATGATTATTGGTCTTTAGGCCAAACATTTATAGTAGCTGAGCAATCTCCTTTGGCATATACTTAGTTTATAATCTAGATTGACACGTGGGATATTTTTTATTCCGTAAAAATGGGAGATTCCTGTGGGATTCTAAAAATCAGGCAGATAAATTTGCGGGCTAAAGCTATTATTGTATTAATATAAGGAATCTGAAAAACCAACAGTCTATAGTGCAATCCACTTTTAATTTTTAAACTCGTTTCTTACAAATATTCTCTAATTTATCTTAGGTCAGATAGTTTCTGCTGTCAAAGACGGCTGCAGGAAAGCTTTCCAAATCCAACCGCAGAGGCTGATGGCTGCCATGTACACTTGCGACGTTGTTGTAGACCAGAAAGTATTAGGTGAGTGAATACGCAGTAGTATTGTCACGAACGCTCTGGAATCTATACATATATAATACAATGGTAGGAAAGTCAAAACTGTACATCGAATAATTTTTTTAAAGAATACTTGGGGTGTGATCTACAATAGATACCGAAGCCAAAAATATAGTTTTTAGATTTGTTTGTCTGTATGTGTGTCCGGGATAAGACAAAAGTAGATACTGCATAGATTTACCTCAAATTTGGCACGAATATTATTAAGAAGTCGGGTCAACATATAGGCTACATACACGGAGCACCCCCACTAGAGTCCGCATACAAGGGCAAGCGCTTACGCCAAGCTTAAGTAGTATTTTACCTATGCGTGAGGCACGCCTACAGACGTCGCGATACATCGTTTCATTCGGTAACCGAGCGTTAGTCGAACTGCTTCTCTCGTTTTCGTGTTAAAAAACTGTAAAAAATGCCGTACTGTGCAATTAAATTGTGTGGAAAGTCGAGTACAACTTCCAGTCTTCAAAAAAAATGGTATTACTTTTCACTGGTTAGTTTAAATGCATTACAAAAAGACAAAAGTACTGTTATATTAAATTGCTGTTAATTGTATTTATTTTTTGGTGAACGCGTTGATGTCTTTTTACACTATCCCTTTCTCGCATGGGCTACATCATATATGCTATCTCGCTCTCACACCGGCACGTGTATTGCTAGTGACTCAGACGCAGCTCATGTCTCAACGCGTAAGTTTACCGATAAGTTTGTCAGCTATGGAAATGGAAAAAATAAATAAAAACTATTTATTTCATCGTATACAATAATAGATGTCATAAGTATACAACCAACAGTTTTTATTTGACTTCAAACATATCCTAATAAAATTGAAAAAACGCGAAAATTTGTATGCATATTTGTTACTCTTTCACGCTAAAACGGGTAAACGGATTTGTATGAAATTAAGTGCGCATAGTTTATGACCTAGATAAAGACATAGAATTAACGATATTAAATACCCTAGATACACCACGAGCGCTCAAAATGTGTCCCAATCAAGAAGTGCTTGAACTCCACTCAAGCACTTCTTAGTACACAGTCACACGCGGACCGTTGAAAAGTCAAGATGCCAAAGAGTTCCGTGAAAAAACGCAGAAAAATACTAATAGTACGTAAAGTGTCGTTTTTTCGACGGGTATCTAATTAATGTTTTTTAATTAATCCCTTTAAAGCAAATTTTATTGTTGTAATACTTACTATAAACTGATTTAATTTAAAATATTTGTGATATTCAAATGCATGGTCGGTTATACGTCGCCCTTAGCCATCTCTTTTCTTCGCGGTCTGTACTTGCTATATTGCTAACAGCGCATTCAGAATTGCGAGTGAAAAGTCAAAAAAAATAAGGTCTATATTCTTTCACATATAACAATAAATCGTAAAATTTTAGGAACTTGACGCATGCATTTTAATTAAGACCTTATGCCGTATGCATTAAAGGTGACTTTCAATGTTTAAATAAGGCATTATATTGTTTTTGACCACGCGATCATCTTACGGACCTCCGTGGATCGTCCAATGTACCTTTTGGACACGTTTCGGCCACGATTTTGTTCGTGTTGTTGTATCTAGGGTAGTTAATATCGTTGCATTAATACTTCTTGTCCTGGACGTGTTTTTTTTTGTGTTGCTTATATATAATTTAGTATGTAGTTACTAGTCGCGTCATGTAATTAGAACGCTGGAAGAAAGTGGAGAGGGTATGATTACGCATTTGCGCACCAAAGTGCTAGGCCTCTATTCTAAATTGTTTATCGATAGAAAATATCGATATTTTCTAAAATCGATCTTACCCTCATCACTTCGCTGCACTGAGTATATGATCTGACCTTGACGCGTCCAATCACAGCGGGGCTGACCTCCCTGCACCCCACCGACTTTAGCGATTTTGATTCCAAACAAAATTTGTGTGATGCGGACTCTAGTGGGGGTGCTCCATGGCTACATATTATCACGCTATCACCTACGGGGAACGAGCAGTGAATCTTTATTTCTAACTAACTCCACGCGTACGAAGTCGCGGGCGGTCGCTAGTTTATACATTACGCCGCAGCCGTCGCTCAATGTATTCGCGATCCAAAGTACCTCAATCCAAAGGGCGTACAGAAATCATATAATATCCAACCTCATTCCAACCCGCTACTGTATAAACAATCCATGCTAATAGATTAAATGCGAAAGTATGTCGGTCTGTAAGCTGTTCACGCTTAAACCGCTGAATCGATTTACATGAAATTTGGTAAAGAGATAGTTTGAGTCCCGCGAAAGGACGTAGGAGAGTTTGTATCCTAAAAAACAACGTTTAAGGGACCTAAAAGGGAGTGGAATTTTGATTGGGAAACCCAATTTATTAAACCACGCAGACGAAGTCACCCACTACTATAAATAATAAAACAATATTAGACCTCGTCATAGTATAGAGTCACAGCTCAAGTTACAAGTTCAAGATTCCAAGCCCGCTGCTAGACCTTCCTTATATTTTGATGGACAAAATATGAATAATCGAGTTATTAGTGTGTATAATCTAAACATAATTATACACACTCGCTTTCTTGTGCTGTGAGCTTGCTTACAGTCTGAGGACTGATTCTTACACATGTTATAGAGAATATTGTAAACCAGATACATTCTGTCTGCTGTATTTATTGCCAGATTTTAAATGTCGAAAGTAAAAAACACAAACTTGCTTATGCACCTGTGTCACCTGATACCTGAATAACGGCACACAGTACAAGTCAAATCTACTTGGTTATCCATATTTTGTCCATCAGAAAATAAGTAAGGTATGGCTTCTTAGGTCTCAATATTAGGTGGAAATACAATGTAGTAGAGTACAAGCTACTTTAAAGCTTGATTTTTGTCGTACTATTCGCAAAAGTATGCTTTGCCGGGTTTAAAAACAGGGGTCCTTTAAAGAGACCTCAAGAAGCAAACTATTAAATTGAGGATGACAGGTGTGTGTACTGAGTTGTGGGTAGTGGTGTGGCAGCTATCTTCGAGTCCCGACACTTAACATCAAAGGTGGGGTAGGAGTAGGTACCTCAGACCAGTCGGTCATTTTATAAAAAATAAACAAAACAGTGCGACTTCATTATCTATACGCACTTCAAACATAGGATCGATATTTTAACAACAATATTACGTATCAAAATATTCAAGAGTTGACAAATAAGGTTTTAGTTTAAAGTTGTTTATCTAAATATCTTTAAAATGCCAAAGAAACCATATCATGGCAGGAGTTGAAACTAAACAAATACTACTTGTTTAGATAAGGCGATTATGGGCATTTCCAAATGTGTTTTTGGTTTCATTGATCCGTGTTAATCATAGAGCAACAGGACCGCGGGCAGGACAAGAGTAGGCATACTCAGCTTTCCTCTCTGTCGCATTGAGCATGCAAAGGATTTGGCGGTGTATTGCGTCATTGTTTATGTGTGAGGGTCATAATTACAGTTCTGTTTTTTTTAATGGCAGAATAATTGGAATAATATTATACTGATATGGCTACTAGATTCCATGTTTCTTTATGGTGCTAATCCTTGGCCTTATTTCACCAAGTCGACATATGTTACTAACATGTCATAAAAATGACAGGCGTTTTTTACAATTGCCCTAAACTATTACTCCAACGACAAATGTTGTGAAACAAGGGTAATTTTTTAAAGTCGACATATTTGACTATTCGGGATAGTTTTGCAATCCAATTGTAGTGTTTTCGTTGTTAGTTACAAAATGGCTCTCTGCGAAATCTTGAAAATATATGAGAATTTATGAAGAGCGAATAAGTGTCTCCTTTGATATCACTGATTCTGCGATTAAAGAATAATTCCGCATAACCAAAACCAGTATCGAACATTTAACTAATGAAATCGATGCAAAATAAGACCACCCCACAATAAATCGTCGTCGGCTTATATATGTCACTGACAAATGTTGACTTGGCGAAATAGGGCCCAGGACTATTCTTAGTTAGCCTTATGATTGCGCAATGAAGTTGAAAGCACGTGTGAAATCTGGACAAGTCTTTTGTCCCCCAGGTTTGAAGACATGTTTTGAAAGCATAACACAGTGTCTATAGAAAAAGATCGAAATATTCGTTAGATTTAATTTTCGTAATTACAAATATTGTAATTAACACTACTATTTACATTCTTATTATCTAAGTATAAATATGGGTTACTTAAATAAATACCGTATTTTCTAAACTACATCTTAAATAGCTATAAATGCATCGAAAACAAATTTCACTGAGTCATAATTATAACCACTTATCACATTTTCTCGTGTACATATTTAAATAAAAAAAGTTCGTAGTTAACGAACATCATTTGAAATTAATGGTGGGGACATATTTTGTTCCATTAACATTTCTTCTAATTTTCAAATCGGTCTTATAACTACAGTAATGGTTACCTCTAGGTATACCCGGCATTAGTATTACTAAATTGAAAGGTATTTTCTATGTCAATGCAAATTGAAATTCAACTTTTCTTATGCATTTTTTCGGAATCCCATTTCCTATGTCACAAATAAGCCAGATGCCTTTTGCAGCCTATCTCGCTCTGGAAAACAACTTCCCGATGCAATATATAGATTTAAAAAAAAACATCACGATACACCAAAGATCACATAATAATATTAACAATCTTATTCATTCCTTCCGATTTAGTTTTGTGACCTCATTTTTTACTTTTCAAACCTCTGATGGCGTTTCGTGTCGTAGTATCAGCACAATTTTATCAGTATATGAAAAATAAATATAAAACATCATTTTAAATTCAATACCTAATTTAAGATCTTGTGAAGACCCATCAAAGTAAGTATAAGTGTAAGAAATTTTCTTTCAAAGAACTTTACTGTCAGGGATCTTCATTGATGCTTAAATTTTCTGTATACATTTTGGTTTTTAGAGCTATAAATTCTTCCATATTATTGCCTGTGGAAATACAGGTTTTTATATTTTTAAA